GTGTATGACACTGCTTGTAACATAATGTGTGGGTACCATTGTGTGTCTGTGTAAAATAGCTATATGCATGTTTTCCCTAAAGCCAGAAACATTTCCTCAAACGAACACACTCATACATTCATACACTACAATACGGATTTAGACACGCACCAACACAAACACATTCATACACAGGTACACACTAGGACACACAGAGAGACAAACACACATTCATATACCTCCTCCTTGATCATGATCACTGCAGCTGTCCTGCCGCAAAGCTGGGAATCATTCTTCCTGATGCTGGAATGAAGACCGACAGAGACCCAAGATAGAGACAGAGATACCCAAGGAACCCAATACAAATGCAGACATTCTACAATTCCTGGTTCCCACCAAACTAAAGCAGTTTTATCCCCACAGATGGTCTGGGTCTGAATTACTCAGATATTGTCTCAGCTCTCCACTTTCTTTTACCTGCATAGACTAAAACACTGTAATGCTTTGAGACAAAAGTACACAATCTCCATCTTGCACAATTATGGGAAAAAAAACATACAGAAAACTTATCCATTGACTGTGTGACTCCCAAATCTGCATCTTCAACTCCAACTTCTCCCTAAAGATCCAGATAGGTATTTCCAGTTGTCTATTAGATATCTCTACCTGGATTCTGCAATGGCAATTCAAGTTCAATAGGGACACAAATAACCTCATCACATTCCTCCAAAACAGGCTATATTCCCCCTTATTATTTTCTCTTATTGACACCACCATTCTCCCATTCCTCTGAAGTGCTAAACCTGAGAATTATCTCTGACTTCCGAAGGACGTTGCTATGCCCTATCTTCCACCCCCATTCAACATTATATAAAATCACAGACTCTCAGAGAGCTATCAGTCCAACCTAATTCTTCATAAGGATCCCAATATGTGGTCATACAACATTTGCTTGAAGATCTTTAGTGACAGGGAATATACTGTCTTCTGAGGAAGTCCACTCCATTTTCAAAATTGTTATGAAGATTTCCCTTATATCAAATCTAAATTCACTCTTTGCATCTTCTATTCATTTCTTGCCCTGAGGCCAACCAGAACAAGCCTAATCTCTCCTCTACATAACAGACCTTCAAATATCAGAAGAAGGCTATTACGTTCAATTTATGTCTTCTTCAGACTGAACATCTCCATCTCCTTTGGTCGGTCCTCATATGGCATGAATTCAAAGGCCTTCATGGTCACCCTCCTCCAGCTCTCCAACTAGAGATCCAGCATCCAGCTTATTCATGTCCTTAAAATGTGGAACTTGGAACTAAACACAATATTCTGTAGCTTAGTATAGGGACATTATCACCTCCCTCATCCTGGACACTGGGTAACCTCAATTTCATTAGGTTTCTTCATTGCCCTAGCACACCATTGACTCTGTTAACACAATTGTAAATGCATTCTGGCCTGGACAGGTCTCTAACTGGGAAATGGCTGGAGGAGAAACAGAGCAGGTCAGATATGGGTGTGTCAGGAATCAAGTAGCGGTTTAGTTAATTAATTTCAGAGTGAAGAATGTAGTTTGCAAACCTGAAGTTCTGAGGTGAGTTCCTCATGCTGGAATAAAGGCAAAATTTATGTACATAAATCACAAGTGGGAAGGGGTTGAGGGAAGGTGGATTACAGCATAATCATTTCTAAGTCTTGAGTGGTTTCCCAAGGCAAACCCAAGAGTGCAGGACAACACAGGTATTCTTGAGTTCTGTAGGAACAGTTCTTAAGTTGATTGCCTCAAATTTTGGGGGTCCTGATTACATGGTGGGGTTCAGAACCAGAATTCTGAGACAGGAACAAGTTTTACAATCTTTGATTCAATTCACTTAACATTCACAAGCATAGGAATGTAGGAACTGTCAGAGTTCATTTATCGCCTTAAGCTTCATTGTGAGTCTCTGACTCCCAAGTCAGAATCTCCTGAGAAAATGGGAGTTCTAAAATATCCAGATAGTTAGTATAATCATTACACATATCATATCGATTAATATGAGAATCATAAATCCCTTTACAACTCATATTAAGCTCACAGCCCACTGTAATAAACAAATAAATAAAAACCAGATTTTTTTTCCTGTGGGATTACTATCTAACCACACCTCCTCCCCCTCTTCTTGTATTTCTGAAACTGATTTTTTAATTTAAGGGTAGGACTTCACATTGATCTCTATTACCTTTCATCTTATTATATTCAGCCCAACATTCTTGCCTTTTGACATTTTTTGGATCCTGACTCTGTCATACAATGTATTAATTATTGTTCCTAACTTTGTGTCATATGTAGAGTTAATACCTTTACCTAAATCATTGATGAAATTGATAAAAAGTATTGGGCCAAACATAAATCCTTGGAACACTCATCTAGATAACTCATTCAAAGTTAATATTGACTCATTATTCAGTATTCTTTGGGTTCAGTCCAGAGATATTTAAAAAATATAAAATTTTAAGTTGTTTTAAATTTCATTTCTCTATCAGATTCAATATGCTAAAAATGAGTATCAATCATCTGCAGTTTTTTGATGTGTGATTATTATGATCAAACTCAGCCCTGAGAAAGAGTTAGGAAAAATCATGTACTCCTTTTGCTGAAGAGATGGGGGCCTATGGCAGTGGAATATTGCATACACTGTCAGACATGGTGGATCTGTTGGCTAATTTTATGGAAATTTTTTTTTCCTATTTCTTTCAAAAACTTTTTTTTCCAGTTCTGTTTTTTT